ATTAGATCACCAACTTGAATAAAACCATGGCGTTATTGAAGCTTTACATGGTCCTAGATCAGATCAAACACTCTGCTTGTCACAGAATCGGGGAGCTTAGCAAGGGGTCGCCGATTAAAACTTCCAACGGTTTGAGAGAACTGCCATGACAAAACAAATCTTAAATGTTCAGTCGTAACAATTTCTGGCACCCTCACAAATGCCGCTAGGGCATACAGAAGAACTGAAGCTTTATCCTGGGGCTGTTTAAGCTCCGAATGCTTGTGATCAATTGTGTCTTGAAGAAAAATGTCAGTCTTGCATCACTGCTATGACTAAGCACTCACTCCTGCCTGCCTCATGTCGGGCAGCTACAGCCGGTGACCACGCTCCCGTTGAACATTTTTCTTCTCTCCTTTTCACACCCACTTCTCCTATAGTCAAGGAAAACTTATTTTAATGGGCCATGAGAACAAATGCAGAAAAATCTAGAAGCATGGCCTCTCCTGACCTATTCCACAATGCCACATCAAGCTGAAATAATGTGACGCACAACATACACAATGCCCGAGGGAAGCGTTTTGAAAAGAGGGCACATTCCTGAAGTCACTCGGTAAGGCAGATAACCCTAGGGAAGGCTCCATCCACTTCAGAAACGCTTTGGTTAAAATACGCATGCAAAGATAGCAGGACTCACTGTTTAAGACAGATGATGGGTTCTGAATATATTTAAAGCCCAAGGGCAGACTTACGGAATTAAAAGAAAGGTGCAGGAAAACTCTGTGTTTTCTAACATGCATTTCTAGCACACAAAAGGTTGTCTTGCATTTCACCTCCCCACAGCTCCTAAGCAATTTCTCAGTGCAATTTCCATCAGCTACAGCGGGTCTAAATTTCAAGTCAGAATTATAAAAACAATCTCAGCTCAGCAGAGGCAAAGATAATCTATGAAATGAGATCGAAGTTATATACTGACGTTAAAAAAAATCTCTGTAATCTGTTCACAAATTCTGCGCTCTCGCTGCTGCTTTGAAACTGCTTTGTGGTGCCAAAAATCGTGAGCTGATTCTCTGTCCTACTTTTCAGAACTGAAGGCAGTGATGAAAATAGAAAGAATCAATTCCCTTTCACTCCTGCAATGCTGAAAAGCTTCAAGCGGCACCAGAAGCAAGCACGGAGGCTGCCGGAGGAGCAAATGCTCTTGCTGGCTGAACGCCCCAAGGGCTGTGGCCCTCAGGCACGAGCCCTGAGAAAACAAAGGAGAGGTTTTGCACTGTAGACCACCTTCAGTTGGAAATGTCTAGGATGCCATATCCAGAGTGACGCAAGGTTAGGATGTTGGGATGCTTTCCTGAGAAGCTAGAAGATGTAGGTTTGACTTCTGCAGACTGAGCAGGATCTAGAAGTCAACATCTGTCACTCCTGGGACCGTGCTCTGAAATTTTGGCTGTTACTTACAACTGAGACGAGACACCCCACACTCACCCCTCTGTTTCATGTCTCGGAATAACAGCAGCTCCAGTGGGTCACACCAAGGATCCCAGCAGACCAGTATCCTGTCCCTGACAGGACCAAAGCAGATGCCCAGGGGAGAAGACAAAACAGAGCATATGGTGCTTCCCCAAGCATCAGCTGTGCAATTTTTCCAGATTGTACATCACAGCTCAAGGAACTTGAATTACTGTACAGACTAATGGAGCATGATTCCCCTCATTTGACATCGTTCTCATCAGCAAGCACCACCCACGTTTATAAGTTTCTTACCCATCGGGTAATATTTTCTTACAATGCATTACAGAGTCAGATCCCTTTCTGGATCACCTACAAACACATCAGGACTGGTGAAGGGCACACGGGATGAAGTCCCTCCACTAACTCCTAGAATTAAAGGGTTCTTCGCCCTTAGCAGGAAACAGTAAAGCTCAAGGTAACTAATTGAAGGGGTAATTCAATCTCAGGAACTGCCCAGTTCTTGGCTGTTAAGATACAGGCTGCCAAGAGGAACTCCAAAACAAAAGCAATTCTCCCTGGCATGGGATTCCTCTGACCTAATCAAGCACTTCACATGCCTCAGGACAAGCACCAACATTTGATCACTATTCCACCGAGCAAGACTCAGGTTAACCTAACCTTACCCTTCCACGTGGCTGGACCACAACTACCTCTTGCTACCTAGTCAGTTATTGCAGAACTATCGCACCTGCTATCCCATCATTATTTTATTACTGCTGGTTGGATGGGGAAAACATCATCCTAAGTCCTGTGTATAAATCACTACTGAAATACCAGGAGAAAAAACAGGACAGAGAGAATTCATTTGGCCCATCCCTCTGCACCACTTCAAACACAATTTCTTAAGAGGCTACAGAAACAAGTAATGATCTTTTAGCCTTTGCAGGAGCAGAATCAGCTTTCTACTAATATCTAAGTGCTGCGATTTCTGTACGCTACCATTTGCTCTATCCCAATATGGAGAGTAGCCTATGCCCTTTCTATCAGAAGACAACTTTACACATTTGAAAATAGCTACCATGCTCTCCCTTAACCTTTCAGTCTTTTTACCTTTACAGGTTAATGTTTCCAAACACCAGTTAGCCACCTTTTTGTCCTCTAGACTCTCTTCACCTGGTCTGCCTCTTCCTTCAGACGTGCTGCCACAGGCTGGTACAGAACCTATTCCAATATCACAGAGAACATAAGGATTTCTACACTCCAAACCCCATTCTGTTAACATAGCTATTTTATTTCGCAACTGCATAACATTGTTGAGGCACAGTCAGCTTTTGATCCTCTAAAGCCTGGGTAGCTGTTTCTTAGAAAAAAGAATCCAGACCCTTTTCTCTGGATGCAACTTATTAGTTTCCAGATCAAAAAACTTCTCTCCAGTACACTTCTTTAACTTTAAAGTTAACTTTGTACTCTCTGCTTGACTTCAAACTTTCTACCCCATTGTCTTCCTCCATCACTTCAATTCCCACTCACTTCTGCCCTTCCTCTCTTATCTGATGGACCTTACAGGCAACAAGAGAAGACACAAGAACTTTGAGATCACATAAAAAAAATTTTATCTTAGGTTCTTAGGACAGTTGGAAGGCATTAATCACATAAATCACCTACTTAAAGCCTATCGTACACTCCCCTTTCTATTTCCAATGCTTGTTCTAAAATCATCTTACAGTAAAAACGATACCACTTTAACATCTAACTTAGAATTCGGAGATCTTAAACAGCAGCAAGAATGTGTTTTTATAACAACCTTTTTTGCATCACATTTCCTTAAAAGATCTATTTTAGCATTTTGTTTCATTGCAACTAATTAGCCAAACTATATGCGAGTCTAGAGAAAATTAATTCTATATTCAAAAGCCTGAGGAATTTGTGGCTGACAGGCTGCACTCTTTAGACATGGGAAGACCTTTGAATTCCCTTACAGATAAATGTTTTGAATTGTACTATAAATGTAACACTCAAGCACAACTTCAACTGCAAAGCAAAGACTCACAACTCCACAAAGAGCACTCTTTAGGGGAAACAATTCTGCCAACAGATAGAATAGGAAAAGGGAAGACAGAGAAGAGAGACGCTGACATCAATTCTTGCCCTAGACAAAAAGGTGGAATGAGAACACAACCTTCGTGCAGATCAGCATTCAAGGCATTCCTAAGCGTTAAATGTTTAGTGCTTGCTAGTAATGTACAGTTTAAATGTTTACTAGTTACACAAACTCATCCACTATGTAAGGAGAAAGGTGGTTTTAAATTCTACCCGGCTCATTTCCTCACTTCTTGATCAGTCAGCCATGAGAGTGAGATGAAAAGGGCAACTCAAGAGAGGATGCCACGCTGTCGGTACCCAGCTGGTGCCTAGTTACGTACAGGAGTCGCACGTTGCTACCAGTTCATAAATCTAGGTGGGAAATCTGTTCTGTTAAACAGAGAACAGAACTGGAGGACTATTCAAGAGAGACCCAGAGAACAGGAGTGCCTTAACAACCTGCAACAGAAGTTCTGAAACACTTAGGCAAAAATAACGTTACAGGGAAATCAGAAGATTATTTTTCATTGACATAACTTCTGAATGCTTACGGCAAGGATGAAATTCTCCTAGCAGTGACACAGACAAAGCCCTCACGGTTATTGTAACATGAGAATGCATGAATACAGGCTTTATATTTTACAGTTAAAAAAGAATAATCAAAAATGTTATTATGAGTCCTAGGAAAGGAAAAAAAATAATATTTTAATTAGGCTTATTACTTTTGCAGTTTTTTTAAGAAATCTGGTAAAATATATATATGTCTTAAAGACGACAAAAAGAAAAATCAGAAATAATTCGAAATAACAGCATTAAAGAATTGCCTTTAAGGCTAGTGCAATGATTTAGTACTTAGTATAATGTCCCTGATGCACTTAGGGCAAAAGAATTAAATTTCAAGTCTGCCAGTCTCCAGATTTGCAGGAGAGAGGTATAATGTCAAATGAATTAAAGAAGATGGACGAATTGATGGATTCAGAGGGAGCAATCACAGTCTGCAGGACACGGACAGATCTGGCAGGTGCAGAATGAGGATTGACGGCCTAAAACACAAGGAGAGGAAATCCAGCCCCCAAATATCAACGCTCTGGAAATAAAGGTACATATAACCAAGTGCTGACTTCCAGTCCCTGCGAGCAAGACAAATGCAGAAGAACATTTTAAAGTGATTTTAGAAGTCAAACTTTTATTTACTATCAATAGCACTAAGTGATTTCCACTTTGCTAAATATACATGTCCTGCATTTAGCGTGAGCTTCTTCCAGATATACAAAACAGCCCTGCAATAAAACACGCTAAAATTGATTAGAAGAAAAAGCAGCTGGTGAAAGGCCGGTATAGATCAGATCGGGCAGACAAAGAGAAGAAAATGTTTTTTCAGTATACATCAATCACACCAAAAAACCCTGAGGACTTGGTGCTAACAGGGAGTTTTAGCTCCTCAGACGTCTTTTGAGATAGACGGAAAATACTTTCAATATTCTTACCTGAGGGAATTTGCGTTTGATGGATGTCAGTGCTCCCTCTGGGAGCTTGGCAAGTTCTGAATCTCTGACTGCGTGTACTGTCGTGGCTCTAGGTTGATGGGTTAATGCCTCTACCTGAAAGAGAACACAGCTAAAACATTAAAGAAAATTCACAACATGTTGCAAAAAATCAAATGTCAGGATGAAGGAATAGAACAATTCCCAAGAACTGGACTGTCGTACCTGTTGCTCACACACATTCAAAACAGAACACGGTTTCCCCCCAGGGTGTGTACAGAGGGAGCTTACGGAAGGCACATTCTTCTGCAACAACTATTAGCATCTCTCTAATCCAAATCTCCCGGCACACGCTCTGCTACCGGACAGTCGCAGCTTTTCACAGAACTAGAACCCGTAGTGCCAGGCGGGCAGCATTACAAGAGAAAGTTCTGTTTTCCGTCGTTTTTAATTGTGATAAAGCCATCGAAGAGAAAGAGAAAACCCCATTTTTCTACTGCTCTTCCGTTCTTTTTTTCCCCAATGCCACCCTGAAATACTTTCACTTTACTCTCAGAAGCTGAATACCAGCAACCTTGAAACGCTCAAGACTTCTTAAAGATTAAAGAAAGGGAGGAGCAAATCAGCACATTTTGGCCAGAAGTGAGCTTGTTTTTCCAGTTATTTTTTTTTACCAATGCATGTGTACCTGTGCTACATAAGCAGGAAAACATGTGACAGTACACCCAAATGTTTCACCTAGAAAACAGTTATTTTATTAAGAGAAGTTTGAAGAAGAAGATGATCACGCAATGAAAGTTAATACAGAGATATTCTCTTTTACGGGGAGAACCTGACACAATATTAACAAACCCGGGTTCTAAAAGCCAGCTCTGCAAAATGCAGCTGCTCCCGAATCCCCAACCGCACCATCTGCGGAGCCCGGACCCGCCACCAGCTCTTAGTGTGTTTTGAAATGCAGAAACCCAATTCCCTGGTGAAAGATCTTCACACGCTTAATGAGATCGCCTGCTAGGCGAGATGGCGTCATTCGGGGCTCAGGCGTGAGCTACAACATTTAATTGCTTAGAAACAGCCTGGTGCTCAGGTTTGCAAGTTTTAGCAGCAGGCAATGTTTACTGGGTTTAAAATCCATAGATCAGTTGTTACAGGGGAAGAAAAAAAAAAAAGGTTGTCATTGTAGTAGCTGTCATTGCTGAGGTTGAACCCCCAAAATTCCTCACTCTAACTGCAATTCATGGACACTTAGAATAAAAATGAATGTGACTCTTTATTTTAAGTTTTGCAGTAGAAAAAGTAACAGAAAATATATCAGCTTATAATTGTTTGGTTTGTTTTGGGGTTGGGGGATTGATAGGTTTTTGGTTGGTTGGTTTTGTGGTTGTTTTTTCTTCCAGAATTTGTTCCAAAGCTTGTGTTTACAGCAAATTCCAACACAAGCAGTGCTTCTATTACAGAACTAGGGGCTCAGGCACACAAAAAGTTAACGCGATGTATATGGTGCGCTGCACAGCGGCCGAGCTGTGCCAGGGGCCCAGCCATGTACTTCTGCCTACCAGAAAATTAATTTAAAACACGCAACTCCGCGCCATCCAACAAGAGCCCGTTCTTGGAAGACTACGTGTGCACGAACTGGACAGTGCAGACAGCCAGGACATCTGCGTCTCAAACACTTGCAGTTAGTCCAGAAAGCTGAGATCAGCCTGCCGATATTAACTCCAGCTAGTACAGGAGAGTTTAATCAACACCGATTGCTAGGCATGAAAAACTGCACAAGTAAATGCCAAGTAACTTCATTTTGCAAGACTTCGCCTTTGGGTTTGGTTTGGTTTTTTTTTTCAGATGCCAGGGATGTTTTATTATGTAATCACATTTTAAACTAAGTATATAGAAGGAAGGGGAAAAAAGGTCATATCATCTTTGTACACACATTTACAGAGAACCACGTTCCCTTTAGGTTCCCCAAATGGTCGTGTAACATCTCCTGGTTTCTCTCTCTCCCTTATTACCAGCTTTTTATCACAGTTTTTGGCTCTGTAATTTAGCTTCCTTATCCTGAAAGCAGGTTAAGAGTTTCACTTGTTAAAATAAAACCTTTCCTCTCAGCCAGTCATCACCTGATTGAGTTTACTTTGTATAAAGAAGAAAAACACTCAAGCTGTCTAACATCCTTTTCCACCCTTTTTGTGATATATGAGTGCATAAAATTAACTGTGCTCCAAAGGGCTCACCAGTCTTTCAGAAAAGATGAGATTTCTAAAAAAAGGGAATTAAATTTTAATTTTAAAACAAAGCCTCAGGGACTTTTTTTTTTCCCTCCAAACTATGACACTGTCTCTTCGAATTGTTCCCCAGGGAGATCGGGGGGAGATGGAGACCTTCTTCAAACCTCCTTTACAAGGAGCCACTCAGATCTCCAGAGCAGATGGCATTTGCAACAGCACCAGTGTTATGGGACCCCGCAATTGCAGGGAATTTATTGAATATAATTCCCAACTGATTACAGAAATTGGATCTTGTGCTACTCTAAAATACGGGTACTATGTAAGTCTAGCCACTACCTTTGATATTTTCATGCAAATACATCCCGGTAGTCTCACATGGAAAATATCCGGGTCCCTCACACTGCACACCGAGAGATTCAAATCTTGCTTTCCCCTTGGATAGTAGCATCTCAGTTCCCAATCTCTGCTTTATTAGTTGTCCCAAACTATTCATCAAATACTTCCTTTTCACTGGATGTGAGAGGGCTCTCACTGAACAGGTGGACCTTTGGTAGGATTATTCTCAACCTTCACTACATTCTCACCTCTCCCCTCTTTACACCCTGTGGTTAAAAAGCCTTCTTCGCACTAGTTTTACATTTTCTGCACATGGGAATCTGCCAAATCAAATAGGTATTTGGCTATTGTCATCTTTTTTGAGGATTAAAAACAGATTCTAACATTGAGTCATAGTTCTCCCCTGTAAATTATACTTTTCTTCTTTTTATTTATTCTTAATAGACCGTTTGAGATGTCATCTATTCAGAGTTTTTTCTTCTTGCTTAGAAAAAATGAGTTTCATGCAACGTGAATACTTAAAATCATTTCACTCTTAAGCCACATACAAATCCTTGGGCTCCTCTGTCCAGTGAGCCTTTTCAACAAGTTTTCTTATTTTTCCAGGTTTATAAGTAGTACAAGACTTAGAGATCTAGCTTCAACTTTAATACAAATAAAATCCACCTGCGATCAGAAGATCAACCCCATAAGATTATTTCTTTGGTTATAAGCCCCAAATGTAATATTCTGATCACCCAGCACAGCTACAGTAGCCAAACAACACTGAGACACCTCCATAATAACATTAATAATAATATTATTTCTTGAAATGTTTGTTTATCTTCCAAATCTTATACAACCCAACCTGGGGGAGAGATATATTTTGCTTGAGGCAACAGTACATCCCTGGTTCTTCTCCCATAACATCCATTCCTTCTCCTTAGTAACAAGCTCTAAACAAGTTCTCCCTCACTACCCATTTCTGGTTGTCTTGTTCAATTTTTAATTCACCCGTATGCCATCCTTGCTCTTCCTCTCAAAACAATCCTCCAGTTTTCCTGGAGTTCACTGAAGGTTTGAGTCCATCACATCTTCTGCTCCATCTGGACTGGCTAGTCTTCTCTTTGCCATCTTATTATCTAGCGGCGTCTGCTTTTCCCTCATGCTGTAAACTCAGCAAACCTACATTACAGTGCTATTTCCACTTTGAAATCTGTCTCTCTCAAATCCAACCGCTATGCCTCATGCTAGCGGTCATGCTAAAATGCTCGACGTTCCATTTGTCGCTCACCTCTCTCTGAGGTCTACCCCTCGGCAGCACGTTTACAGCAAGCATCAACATCTCCTCTCTACCTCCATCACACCCTCAAGAATCTGTCCATCCACCATTGCCTTGCCTTCCATTTCCTCCAAGAGCTGCATGAAGCGATGCCTCGAATGCTATTAATAATTCGAATCAAGACGCTCGCATCAATTTAGAATGTTACATACCCTGTGGTTCTCGTAATTGATCGTTAGTATTACCATAGGTGGTGGTCCCTCCTGCACTACTGCAGCTCTGTTGTTCCTAACATTAACAAAAAGAAAAAAACCCACAACTATAAATAGATCTATGCTCTTTTTACTGTTTCAGCTAATTCTGACAGCTAGGTTTCTCTTATCTTCTCCTAGCTCAGTATTAAATAGCGAGACAAACACGTACGATGCATCCATCACGTACGATGTGCGTGATTCACAACCCTAGCTTACAAGTCCTTTACAAAGAAAAAGCGTTACTGTAAATCTTTTAAAACAAGGGGGAAAACAATTTCCATTCTCATGACCTCTTTTGACTTCATTGTCAACAGTCATTGCTGACAGTTCTTCTTACAGCTTTCCAAATTACCCAGTTGTAAAGTAAAATCTAGCAAGTGTTGTCTTCTGCAAGTTGGTCTAATTACTCCAAATTCCTTTTTGAGCTACATCTGACAAATCACTTTGAATATTTGCTTAACGTTGTGTGTGTGCATAGCCCCCATGCAATGAGCATATATATATATATATATATTCTCCTGCTTAGCCTTAAGCAGCTCGGAGACTTCATGGAGGACTTCACCAAAACTGGGGCCGGTTTATGTTAGCTGATCTGCTGGCCCAATAAAACATTGCTTCTCCACATAAATGCAGTAACAAGTTGTTGTGTTTTCTGATAGTCAGCAAACAGTAAAATGCAAATAATTTTAAAATACAGTTTCTTGTGTTGATTATTTCTTTCCAAGTGAGTTTTCAAGTTGCAGAGCAGTAGCACACAGGTCCAATTAGTGACACAAGTCAATGGGGTCGTTTTAGTCACAGGTCCGTCCTCCCCGACCTTCGACCACCGGCACGTTCAGACACTCCTGTGGCTCTCCCTGTGCGTCCCCCTCCCGCCCACTTCATCACACACTGCTTTCAGTTCCTCTTCATTACAGCTAGTGTTCCACCTGAGAATCTTTTATTCTCTCGTACGTCATACTGCTTTCTCACATATCAACCTTTTCCTTGCGACCAGCTCACAAGAGCTCCACACCGAGGGTACCCTGCATCTCGTCCCTCCCGCTGCCATCCCCTGGACACGATGCAGTAAGATGGAGCAGCAGCCGCAGAAACGACAGCACCGGTTATAAGGAGAACTTGGGAAGCAGGGTAGGACTCCACGGGTTATTAAATTACGTAGTTTAAACTCTTCATCTTCCAAATCCTCATTCATGAAAGCCACAATCACCACCTGTCATTCAGCCTGCTATTTGTAGGCTTTAAACTTTCGCGTTCATGCAAGACGCTTTGGCAAGACCCAGCAGCCACAAACCTGCACCCTCTTACAAGAGAGCGCCAGGGAGATCAGGGCACACCTGGCCGAGCTTCGACAAAAGCAGCATCGCGCCTAACGAAACAAAGTGAGAACTCTGATAACAGTCAAAAAATAGTAAAAAGGCATTTTCTTCTCCTCAACGCTGGCGTAGCTTCTAGCAGCAAGGGAGGGGGCACAGACCATCCTGAGCCGGGGCGCAGCATTGCAGACACACCGCCCAGCGTGCCTGCGGTGCCGCTGCCGTCTGCCAAAGCTGCCTCCTCACGCAATGTCCGCCCCGAACCGCGCCAGGCAAAACCAACAGCTCACCCAAAGGCACCGGGGAGGACCACGGCGGGACAGCGGGAAACACAAGGGACAGGGCTGAAATACACTGTGCAAGGAAGCACAGATACGCCTGGGGAGGCGGAAGAAGAAGAAATACCAACACTGACATCTGCTGATAGTTTAGGAGGCTCAAGGAAAGGGAGAGGCAACAAGTCAGATGCCCCGGTACCAGGTAGCACACCTGAATCTCAACAGCCAACACAAGCACTAGA